ATTACCCTAATGGAAATTACTGAGTAAAGCTAATTGGCATATAGTGCCTAATATACATATGCATAGAAAATAAAAAACTTTATTGTCCAATACTGGATAAACACATCTAAGTATCCCAGACACCAAAATAGTGAAAAAATAATAATAATGAAAAAAAGATGATAGTAAGTATAAAAATAGGACCAACTGCTGAAGCTGATGTGTACAAAGTGTACTAATTACGAAATAGCCAGATAGTGATACTGATGAAGTGGAAACAGTATCTAAGGGGAGATATACAGTGTATACATAGGTAGATACAATAAGGTAACCCTAGTTGTACAGTGTGTGTGTGTGCTTGTGTGTCATACCGACGCATTTCACTCAGATGATGTTACCTACTCTTCAAATCTCATCCATTCCTTCTTTTTCTCTCTCTTTTATTAATATGAATGTAATTGCTTAATTGACCAATTTTTTGCTTTCTCGTTGCAGAAAACCAAACGTGACGTAAACAACTTTGACCAGGATTTCACGCGAGAGGAACCTGTTCTAACACTGGTGGATGAAGCCATAGTAAAGCAAATCAATCAGGATGAATTTAAAGGATTTTCTTATTTTGGCGAGGAACCTGTAGCCTAATATGGATCATATACTGGCCGGTCCTTCAAGCAGTAGTCCTACGGAGACAAACATGTGACTGAGATTCAGTGGATCCTCGCAATCTTGTTCTTTTAATGAGCCTGCTCATGTAAAGATGCTATTTATTGTTTATGTTCTTTTTATTCCCTGAACTGAAGGCACTCCTAATTTCTGTTTTACAGAGCAATGCAAAATCTTGTTTTGTTTCAGAAACTGTAATTGTAACACACTGCCGTGTCTGTGACCACAGTATACTAGACAATCTTCAAGAGGAAAAAAAATAGAATGGTATATATATTTTTTATTTTGTTAATTTTACCATAAATCTCGGACAGAAAAAAATCTGGGCTGGCCAGAATACTGACAGTGTCATGTAACCTTTCCTAGATTTCACTCGAAGCCACCTTCACAGATTTGCAATGCCGAAAGAGAGTATTTGTGTACAGTCAGTCAAATACCCACCACAGATCTGTGAGACTTGTGAAATTAATGGAAATAAAGTATTTGCTTACAGTAGATACGGTCAAAATGTGAAATAACACAACCCTTTTTTATTTTAGTTTGTTTTTTTCACAAGCCACACATACTCACAAAAAAAGCAGTAGAATAGCTTTAAAAAAAAAAAGAGTTTAGTTGGAATGACTATAAAAAGGAATTAATCCCTCACTGCCCAAATGAATTACACTTTATTGTAGTGCAGTGCACTACAACCTGTTACCATTTCATGGTGGCACAACTGGGGTATGAACAAAGCCATCATACATTTTTTTTAGGCAGCTTTGTAAGGGCTAAGTATTTTAGCAGTAGAAAAGACAAAAATTTGAAAAAGAGATTCCTCCTTTTTCATTTTATAGTTTTTTTTTCTTTTATGTAGTACTAATATATTTCCAATGACCTATCACTTTTTAAGTTACATTCCTTAACTCTTGACAGTGCAGAGTGACAGGGTCTTAAACATACAGCCGTTCTGTTGCAAGATCTTCCAGAGAAGATTGCAATAGAATGCATTGCAGTTGGCTTAAAACTGCCCAGTTTTGTTTCAGAGGAGCCTGCAGAAGCCATAAAGTGCATTGCCGGCTCTCTGAAGACAAACAAGTTAAAGCTTCAGGGGACACAAATGGAAAAAAAAGACAAACCAGTATTTAAAAATCACTATTTATGCCGCATGAGTTTTGTTCAGTGGAAATATTCCCCTAAATCTTTACCTTCAGAGTGCAGCAAGAGTGACCAGCGCGTTTTACATTACTGTAAAATGCGTTGCTCAACCCTGTAAGGGTTACACAGTTGCAGTGCATAGTATTCTTTTTGCACATTATAAGTAAAACATAGCACTACTGTGTGTTTCTTTTTTAAATTTAGTTTTATTTTTCTTGTCTAACGTGACAATGTGATATATATATATATATAGAATGAAAATGAAAAAAAAGTAAATATTAAATCACACTTATGGAAAAGTGTGCGGATGATCAAATATTCATAACTGACATTCTGAGGATATGTACATTTGATTCTTTGTTGTGTGTATGAATTTGGTAACTCTGTCAGGAATTCTTGCTAAGGCAACGTTACCTGTTAGAGACGCTAGCAGTGTTATGTAAGTACATTTTTTTGCAGGAGTAACCTGTGTTTGTGTGTACATGTATTGCATTTTATGATGTATTTTACTGGACTGATGTTGAGCAGTTTCTGGGATTCATTAGAAATGGATTTACGTCAGGTTTGGGTGACCTGGAGCTTCCTTGTGCTGGCTGTGGCTGATGGGCATTAGAGTCCTGATACAGCGGAAGGGCTTTGTGCATCCACCCCTGACTCAACGTGAATCTCCTGCTTCTTGAAAAAATTTAAAATAAAAATACATGTGAGTGGCAAAGTGGCACTAAATAAGCTTTTTTTGCCTTTTGTACAGGTGAGATTTTGTAAATAGTGTTTGCTGCAAAGCCTGTGGAGTTTAATTCATAAGAGATATCAACTGCTGCATGTTCAGGCAAATTCTAAGATAGTCCATGGGAAACATTAATTATACTAAAGTCAATGTGCAATACTCTGTATGTGTATTGGTTCAACTTTCTGTGAGAGATTATTATTTTTATTTGTTTTAAAAGATGTAAACTTATATTACGCTATACCAGATCTCTTGTATAGTAATTCTGAAATTTATATTGGAAATAATAGGAAAGAATCGGACAATGTACTAGCTTGAAGCAACAGTGCTAGCACAATAAACTATTTTATTTTTTTTTTAGCTTTCTATTGTTTTCTCTTTTACTTTAAATGTAAGCTTTGTATTGTTTTACATTCATGACTACCTACTTTTGTTTTTTTTAAATATTTCCTCTTTAGATTTAAAAAAATAAATAAAAAAATCTTCTCACTGGCACCTGGAGGGATAGAGATACGTGAGCTTACATCATCTGCATTGGATGATACTCCTATAACCTATGACTTAGAACTGTAACCTATGACTTAGAACTGTATTTGGAAGCAGAGATCAAAAGAAGTGAGACCAGGATATTATTGATAGGAAGCTTATGATTGCACATAAATGGTACAAGATACACAGGTTTACTGTGTGATAACTGTTGGCTAGCACTGATGCTCTTTCTACAGGACATTGGCTTCTTGAGGCGTTCACGGGCCTCTGCAAATTAATCAGTTTGTGTCCGTTGGGCATATGGCTGCTCGCAGCCTGCGTTAAAGATAATGACATACAGTTCCATTTTTTGTTTTTATGAGCTCAGGTGTAACTATATATTTCTTATAAGGAATTTCAATTGTATGCTAATTATATCAACATTTGTTAAGTGGAGGTGGTTTATAATTGATCAGAACAATTTTATTGTATTTTATCAAAGGTAGCTCTGTGTACTGGGAGAGGAAGCAATGTTTCTGAAATCACGTGCAAGCACAGAAACATCTTTCTGTCTGTATCATCTCATTTATAGGGGATATGGTTAATGATAAAAAAAAAAAAAAATCACAATGTATCACTACTGGTTCTGTGTGGTTTGTTTGTTGTTTAAAAAAATAAATAAAAAATTCTGGATATCCTGACAACTAACTGATAAAAGGCAAAGTGCACTTTCCCGAAAAATCAGTCATGTTTAAAAGGTAGACTCTTAGCACATTCTGCTACATCTAGGGATCTTCCTTTTGGCCGCCCCTTTCATATATTGGGCATGAAACAAGTATTGCATGGGGATGTATCCCACACATTGATGGCTCTGAAGACATTAGCATTGCATTGTGCACTATTCTCTGCAGAGAGCTTTATACAGAAGATACTAGTAATAAATCTACTTACGGTAGTCTTTTTGTTTATGGGACAAGGGTAGGTGTCCTTTTAATCCTAGCTAGTTTATGTTTGCAAGCTGCTAAGCCTGCCCTATGTATCGCGTGAATAGGTCAAATCTGGACCACCCCATACCTGCATCACTAATTGTAGGACTGATGTGCGCTGTATATGAGACAGTAGTTTTGGATGAAAATATGCTGTTCTCTACTGGATTTCCAGGATCCTTTTTTCCCCCATTTGTGAGGTATGTTTCAGACCCCCGTGGTAGTTTTTACTTAAAGTTATTTTAATAAATGTATCCTATTGTGTAAAAGACTGAACCATTCTATAGATTGCCAAATATTTATGAGCGCCACATGAAACAAGTTGGCATGGCAAAAACATAGCCACATCTGGTGCCCACCATGCCATAATCGCTCTATAACCTTTTATGGAGGTGGTAGGGAAGGGTGAAATAAGTGCCTAGACGCACCTTGGGATTGCATAGATTCACAGCACTTCAAGTGGCGCGGTCATGCCGAATTTACCTTTCTCTTTTGCTTCCTCTTCTCTTCCTCTCTCAGAATCTGTTCTTATTTTCTTCCTATCTGATCTAGTTTTCTTTAAAACATAAGACAAAGTAGTAACTACTTTGTCTTATGTATTTTTCCTACACTTGACTTTCTTTGACCAAAGGAGGAGCTTAAGTCCGCTCCATTTCCTGTGTTAAGGAAAAGGATGACTACTTTCTCTGACACAGGAAATGGAGCTGACTTAAATGACCACTCTAGGCACCCAGACCACTTCAGCTTAATGAAGTGGTCTGGGTGCCAGGTCCTTCTAGGGTTAACCCATTTTTTAATAAACATAGCAGTTTCAGAGAAACTGCTATGTTTATTAATGGGTTAAGCCTTCCCCCTAATCCTCTAGTGGCTGTCTCATTGACAGCCACTAGAGGCGCTTGCGTGCTTCTCACTGTGATTTTCACAGTGAGAGCACGCCAGCGTCCATAGGAAAGCATTGTAAATGCTTTCCTATGCGACAGGCTGAATGCGCGCGCAGCTCTTGCCGCGCGTGCGCATTCAGCCCAGGAGGAGGAGGAGGAGGAGAGCTCTCCGCCCAGCGCTGGAAAAAGGTAAGTTTTAACCCCTTTCCCCCTTCCAGAGCCGGCGGGAGGGGGACCCTGAGGGTGGGGGCACCCTCAGGGCACTATAGTGCCAGGAAAACGAGTATGTTTTCCTGGCACTATAGTGGTCCTTTAAGCTCCTTCTTTGGTCAAAGAAGTCAAGCGTAGGAAAAATACATAAGACAAAGTAGTTCCTACTTTGTCTTATGTTTTAAAGAAAACTAGATCAGATAGAAAGAAAATAAGAACAGGTTCTGAGAGAGGAAGAGAAGTAGTCCCTACTTTGTTTTATGTTTTCAAGGAAACTAAATCAGAAATAAAGAAAAGAAGAACAGATTCTGGGAGAGGGAGAGAAGATTAAACAATAGGAGAAAGGTAAGTTTGGCATGACAGCGCCACTTGCATCTGCAAATCAGGATTTTGGAAATTTAAAGTAATACAACCCATTGAGGTTTGTACCATTCTTCTGTGTCTTACACATGTTATACATGGATTAGTATAATGAGGGGTGGGAATATGTTTGAAGAGCAATTCTGATAAAAATTGCTAGTTGTGTTGGAATCTTCAGAGCATTCCAATTGGTCTCCACGGTGATGGCTTCACGTTAAGAATACTTCCGCAGAAAAAAATGGAAATTTACCCAGACATTAGAACTAAATAGGACCCAACCTATCGTTTGTTAACCCCTATAGCTAAAAGGGCCAGTGATAATGGATGCGCTGTTACATTTCTGTCTGATCGACAATTTAATTTCTGACATTTATTTATTTTGTTGTGTTTTGTATTGTGCACAATGCCAAAAAAATCTATATTGGCTGATCACTGCTGTTTTATGTTTTTTTTATTTTATTTTTTTTACTATTTCCTTTTAGAATTCTAATATGGAACCCATTGCCATGTTAAACAGGTTCTTTCCAAAAGTTAAAAAGAAGATGAAAGCTGAAAATTACCTCTTTTAAATTATGTGCAAATAGTGCTGGCTATATATAAATATATAAATATAAAACGTATTCCGTTTTTGTATTGTGTTGCTTTATTTGTACAGGACATTTTTTTCTTATTGGATGTGTTTTAAATCTATTGCCATTCATTTGTGTTACTTCATCATAAACGTTATTACTGTGCCAAATGTACTGTATTCAAAAGGATGTGAATGTGTGTTTGTTTCAGAACCCAATAAATACAACAATGTTGAATTGATCTATCTCGGATTATTTCACTTAGAATGGAAAATAGACTTGTATCCTTTCATTTCTATTGAGTTTACCATTCCTTACAAGCTCTGTGGTTTTTTTCACTAAGAGGAAAAACGTTAGAACTCCTAGCACAATGAGTAATTTTTGCTCTGTAGAACTCTGCCTCGTTCGTTTGAGGCAAAATTCTGCATAACTTTCGTTCATTTTTCCTGAGCTCAATGGCGTTGTTCTTAAACATCCAACCAAAGTTTTTACAATAAATTATTATTGAGGCTTCTATATTTAACATCTTGACAATGCATCACAAGCCGGATCATCCACAAGAAACCTTTTTTTAGGACAAATATTTTATAATATTGAATGGGAAAAGGAAGCAAGAAACCATTTTTATGACTGTCTGTCGCCTAAAAATGGTTTTTCTTAGCCGAGTAAGGATTTACTCTGTTTTGTGAACCGCTATTCAGTAAGTAGACTAACTCGTACTCTTCTACTATGATACAAGGTACCAAGATAAGCACATCTGCATTTACTTAACAGGGAGAATAGAGCATTGAAATTGTCATAAAATCTGCTCAGACAAGATCATTTTCCCTAGAGGCTGCAAGGTCAGCAACCTCCTGGCATTCAATATCTGAAATATCCTGAATAGATATAGAGTCAGGTAGGAATTAAAGCCATGATAGCTTAAGCTAGAGAAGGATATCATTCTGATATAAAATTTAAAACCAAATTGAAGACATCATCAGTACCTCGACAAAGGCATAACATCCAGAGATCATACTGGAACAAGCAGATAATGTTGGATGAGAATGGACACACCATGCTATTAAACACAGGGAGAATTACACTGAGAATCCTACTACTTACTGGATGTATTTATTAAATAGATGTATTTATTAAATACAATTCACACTGCTTCCTCTTGCCTAGTGAACTACTTACCTGAAGATACAGGAACAAATCAATATCTGCCTGTCAGAAAGAGGCAGAGCCTAGTAGAGAAATAATAGTCTGTTATTAAAACACTGCAACATTGACCCGATGTTGCAAAAAATTAGACTCACAACAATACCTCACACATGGATGAATTGATACAGTAATGATCAGTCACAGGAGAGGAATAAACCAATAACATTACTAGGCAAAGGCAAGAAGAATCATATACAGATTAGTTGAGGAAAATAAAAAAATAAATATTCTTATGAACCGTAGAATTTGTGGCAACTATTAAATTATAAGGAGGCCAACCACGTCAGTACCTACATTTGTAAATAGTACAGATTATGCCAAACAGTATAATCAAATTTAGTAGAGACTGTTGTGCAACATAAGTAAGAGATATGTACAGTTGCAAGAAAAAGTATGTGAACCCTTTGGAATTATATAAATTTCTGCACAAATTGGTCATAAAATGTGATCTGATCATCATCTAAGTCACAACAATAGACAATCACAGTCTGCTTAAACTAATAACACACAAAGAATGAAATGTTGCCATGTTTTTATTGAACACACCATGTAAACATTCACAGTGCAAAAAGTATGTGAACCCTTGGATTTACTAACTGGCTGAACCTCCTTTGGCAGCAATAACTTCAACCAAACGTTTCCTGTAGTTGCAGATCAGACGTGCACAACGGTCAGGAGTAATTCTTGACCATTCCTCTTTACAGAACTGTTTCAGTTCAGCAATATTCTTGGGATGTCTGGTGTGAATTGCTTTCTTGAGGTCATGCCACAGCATCTCAATCGGGTTGAGGTCAGGACTCTGACTGGGCCACTTCAGAAGGCGTATTTTCTTCTGTTTAAGCCATTCTGTTGTTGATTTACTTCTATGCTTTGGGTCATTGTCCTGTTGCAACACCCATCTTCTGTTGAGCTTCAGCTGGTAGACAGATGGCCTTAAGTTCTCCTGCAAAATGTCTTGATAAACTTGGGAATTCATTTTTCCTTCGATGATAGCAATCCGTCCAGGCCCTGACGCAGCAAAGCAGCCCCAAACCATGTTGCCCCCACCACCATACTTCACAGTTGGGATGAGGTATTGATGTTGGTGTACTGTGCCTTTTTTTTCATAAATTTGTTTTATTGGTTATAGAGGATGAAGAACAGAAAAAGTCAATACAGACAAAAACTGTGTTACGGGCGCGCAGGCCCCATTTGTATATAAGGTATTAAGATCCGATTCATGTTAAGTGCGCAATCCGAGGTTCATAGCAAGTTTGAATCTCCTAGGTATATGCATTGCAGACAATCATATATCAACAAGCTTGATATGGTTGAAGATGCTTCCTCCCTCCCTCCCCCCACCTGGTGCCTACTTATAGGGCGTTGGACCTCTCTAAAGAACCTCACACCCTTCTAATGTGATCCATCCCTTGAACCCACTAGAGTATGTGGCCAAGCTGGCGGTATGTGGTTGCAGGGTCTTGGTCAGGTCAGGTGCACCAGTTTAACAGCGAACCCCCTACGGCCACAGTAGGTCCGCTCGTCACCGGCATAAGTGGTCCCAGATATAAGGGTGAAGTTTGCATTATAGCTTATGTGTCCGTCGGCCGTCGCCCCCTAGTTGTTTAGTCCTCCTGGTATTTGTGAGTGTCCCTGGGACAAGAGTAATGTTTGTGGCTGTCATAAATGGGGGGGCTTTCGTGTATTCCTTTTATGTATACCTAGAATGGTCCCCGTCAGGACATAAGCTCCGCTCCATGATATGCGTGTTCGTAATCTTAATGTACGTGCATGTGTAAGGTTAAAGAGCGATAGTCTTAAGTGAGGTTGCAAGGAGAGAGAAAGCAAAAGCACTAGGACTCTAGTTTCACATGTGTTTTCATAGGATATGATGGCCCTAGGGTCCCCGTCAGGGGTGGCTAGGTTGAGGTAGGGTACACCGGCCGGTCCTGTCCCATGGACCAGGCCCCCTCCCGCGTGCCTCCCCCACAGCTCGCCTCCCGTCCTAATGGCTACAGGACATAAATACAAACCATGGTCGCCATCTCTCTGCGTGTTTGTCTCCCCTACCGAGCAAGGAGGCCTGCATTGCCTCCGCCCCCTGATTGTCCTCTACCCTGTGGATCCACTCTTCTACTCGAGGTGTCTTTTTTTTCCAATAAACCGGGATCAGGGCTTTCGCCACGTTGAGCAAATTACGCAAAATCGATTTTTTTCTATGTCACTATTGACATCTCTGAGATATGTAGGAGCGACAGGGCTGCCGACCATTCTGGAGTCTCCCCCAAGATTTCGGAGATTTTCTGTCGAATCATCTCCCAGTATGGGACAATCGCACTACATTCCCACCATACGTGTAGCGTCGTGCCTCTCTTCTCTTCACACCTCCAACATGTCCGGGGTATTGTCGGGAAGATCCTGTGTAGCAATGTCGGGGTCCTATACCATAGCGCGATCAGTTTATAGTGTGTTTCTTGGTATTGTGAGCTAGTGGAACTCTTATGTTGCCAGAGCAATGCATTATCCCATTCTTGGGATGTGAAAGGAATATCCAGCATCGTCTCCCATTGCCTGCGGAAGGTGTTGTTCTCTGTCAGGTGTCCCACTAGGAGGTGTTGGTAGAGAGTGGATGTCGCTTTCTCCATTGGCAAGCCCTTTTCACAGGTTGCTTCAAACCAAGTGAGGTCCCTATGTAGGCAGTGTTTATTGCGTGTTGTTTCATAATAATGTTTCACCTGTATGTACCGCAACACTATCAGTGGAGATCGGGGCATATCACCCAGCAGGGAGTCTAAAGTCCGCAGGGTGCCGTCCCGCACAGTTGTGGAGATGGGGACATGCTCCCTTCCTTCTGCGACGGGCCATGCCTCCCCCAATTGCTTTGTTATCGGTAATAGAGAGCAATGGGCTGGGTATGGGTGAGAGACGTGGTTGTTCCCTCATGAGTCTCCAGCTAGTTAGAGTCTGCGCTATCAGGCTCCCTTCCTCTCCTTCGCTGCTATTCATCGCCCCCCCATCCATATGGCGGATTGCAGGTGGGCCCCTTGTCTTTCCTTGGTCAGAGCTACCCACTGCTTTTGCGTTGTGTGTATATGCCACTCTAGAATGCGTTGTAAGACAGTGGCTTGGTGATATCGTTTAAAATCGGGTAACGCCAGTCCCCCACGATGTCTTGGTAGGCAGAGTATGTCGTGTCTGAGCCTCGACTTCTCCCCCCTCCAAACGTAGCGAAATACCGCCGATTTTAATGCGGAGAAGAAAGGTGCAGGTATGGCTAGTGGTAGCGTTTGAAACGGATATAGGAGCCTGGGCAGGACGTTCATTTTAAGAACTGCTATCCGTCCATGCCAGGATATATGTGGGTAGGCCCATCTATCGAAGTCCACCATTATTGTTCTCAGCAGCGGGATGAAATTCTGCAAATAGAGTTCTCCTGGGTCTTTTGTTATCCAGATTCCGAGGTACTTCATTTTTCGGGAGCACCATCGGAAGGGGAAAAGGTCATCCAGGGCCGTGTATTCCTCCTGAGGGATGGTGAGCACTTCGCACTTGGAGAGATTAAGTTTAAGACCAGAGATCTTGCCAAATTGTTCAAATGCCACCAGCAGGCTGGGCATCGTGGTTCCGGGTGATGCAACGTAGAATAAAAGATCATCCGCGTACGCGGCCACCTTATGCTCCCCACCTCTCCAGGAGTATCCCCGGATGTCAGGATGCTGTCTGATGGTTTGGAGCAGGGGTTCCAGGGACATGGCAAAGAGCAACAGGGATAGTGGGCATCCCTGCCTTGTGCCGTTTGAGACCTCGAAGTCCGCGGTGAGCGCTCCATTCACCCTTACCGCTGCCCAAGGTTTGTGGTATAGGCTCCACGTGAGGAGCCTATGTCCCACTCCCATTTTGTTTAGGGTGGCTAGCATGTACGGCCACCTTACCCGGTCGAACGCCTTTTCGGCGTCCGTGGAGAGGAGAAGGAGGTGCTGTCGTGATGTCCACACCCTATGTCGTATCGCGAACATCCGTAAGGGGCTGTCTCGCGCCTCCCGGCCGGGTATAAAT